GATTTTCTTAAATTTGGGTCAAAGGTCAAAGCTAAAATTTCAAGGAAAACACAGAGTCACGTTTAGACAGCTGGTCGCCCCTTCATATATGCAATTATAGCAAAATAAATTCGAATAATTCAAAGGATCATAAACATAGTTTCTATATTTAGGACTAATTTGATATTTATGTTGGCAAATATGGTTCGAGATTGACATTTGTACTTATAGGGTGCACATTTACAATTTTCATTCAGCTGTTAAACAACAGTGACCTTGACCTATTAAAATTTCCAAATTCGGAAATTTTTCATAAGATTCATTACAAGTGATCTCTTGAGATGTTTTTTTTTTTAGATATTAACATGCATAAGTTGTCCTTCCAAAATGTTATTTTCCGTCTTTTGATAGAAGGTGTTCGCAATGATTTTCTGGGAAAATATCAAGTTTTCTTTTGGTGAGTGTAGAAGCACATAAAACTGTACTTAGTACCAAAACTGGTGTAATATTAACGTATAATGAATTGAATTAGCAGGTCTGAGTATATCTATGCTTTATAGAAATAAGAAAGACTGCAAACAGTGAAAAAGGGGGAGTATTGTCCGTCAAAGTTATGAAAACAAAGTGACAATTACAAAGAGGTTAATCAATCTATCTTACAAACTTATATGCCTTTTTGAGCATAAATTGGCCTACAATTGACATGAAGTTAAAGATTATCTACAAAAAGAGGGTTGTAACAACATCAATCTAATTAAAACATAGATCTCTGATTTCGTTATCCTCATGTGAGTTTATGTATACGAACACGCGAGTTAATATAGTTCAGAATTTTAATCAGATTGAAACATAGAAAAATTGCCTAAGCTAGCAGTAACTATTACGTTTCACTGTCGACTGTTAAGTTGAAAGCCCACCGACCAGGTTTAGATTAGAGAGCTAATTTCAGTTGGTTTTTTAAATCGCACTCGAAGCAAGTTGCAGAATGCGAGGCATACAGCATACAATCTGATGGTGGAGGCGGCAACACCGTAAACTATTTGTATATCTTTATATTTCAGAGGGTACAGGAATGGGATGAACCATACTTTGTATATAGATCCTTTGTGTTACGAAGTTCCCGTCTGTCATATAATTATTTTCCTTGACCTCATTTTCATGGTTTAGTGACTGCTAAAAAGCTGTTTTTTTCCCCGTCATGTCCCTTTGGTATCCTTCGCATCTCTTTTATCATGAGTTCTAGGATACATTGTAACAATATTTGGTTACTAATATGTGGTATCCTTGCAAGGTCAACATGTCGGTCATACATGGTTCACCTGGCCTCGACCTCATTTCATTGATCAGTGAACAAGGTTAAGTTTTAGTGGTCAAGTCCTTGTCTCAGATACTGTAAGTACATAAAGTAGTGGGTAAAATATATTTGGTGTATAGAATGGTAGCAAAGTGTACATGTCTTTGTGACCGAGTTCATCTGTCTTTACCTCATTTGCATGGAACATTGATAATGTTAAATTTATGTAATACTTGTATAATATAAAAATAAGGAGATGTGGAAGTAGGTAGTTATAGGCAACCGTACAGCCTTCAATAATGAGAAAAACCCATACCGTATGGTCGGCTATAAAAGACCCGGATATTTAGGCCTCAGACTATATATTGATAACGTCCTTTCATTAGCTTTCAGTAAGGGACCGACCATTTGATTTCAAAAGGAGGGAGGAGAGGAGGATTTTGAAAATCAATAACTTGATCTGATATGAACTGAAAATCAGTGACTTTGCACAAGACCGGATGAAAATGAATACTCTGCAACATGAAATGCAGTATATTTAAGGATATAAATGTGTACAAAAGTGAAAATAAATTTTCGCGCAGCAAAGCCGCGTAAAAATAAGAATGCCTAGTAACAGATAAAAAAAATGGTCAATCCGGAAAAAAAGTTTCCTGCTGCCAGCTTGGCACATATAGGTCATGGGCTTCAGTGGTTTGCTCGAACAAACCTATTGCCAATTCAGCTTTGAAATTATTGCAGTTGTTTCTGCTGGTATTAAATATAGCAGGAACGGTGATACATTTTTGTTGTCTTTCACACCAAGGGGGGTTTAGGTCCAAAACAGCATGCAAGACCATAACATAGACCTGGTGTGCCATATTCCGGATGTGTTACCAAACCGACCGATTTGATTCTTATACTATAATTATAACAAAATTTCATTTCAATAAATAGTTGAAAGTATTAAAAAACTGAAAAAAACATATTCCTCCGAAGAAAATAATAATTTACAAAGTTAGCTGGCTATTCAAAACAAATAAATCAACCACACAACAAGCAAAAAAATGAGAAATGTAATAAGTGACCACTGTCCTTGTTAATGACCTAATAGTGTAAGCAACAAAATGATTGATGTCACGGGATAATCCGTGTTTAACCTATGCCAAAATGATGACTTAACTTGTGTTTTTAATTGCTAATTTCTTCAAAACTACTTTTATTTCACACATGAAATTTGACACACACATGCACCGTGTCTTATTGCTTTAATCAGAGTAAAAATTATTGTGATGATACACGTAGTAATTTTGCCTTCGATGAAAATGTCTGACTAAAATGCTGAAATAATTATACTAAAATCACTTAAATACTTTCCGCTTTTGTTATATGATATATTTAATGTATAAACTATATTATAAGTACTATTTTAACAACCAACAAAGAGCGTAATAATTTTAATTTTCATGTTAAAGATTTCCCGTACAATACGGTATCTGGGGGTACCCTGTAAAAACACGAAATTTAGAAAATCGTGACCATGGGAACTTACGACGACAATCATGATTGTAAAATATAATGATTTTCCTATAATTTGCAAATAAAAATAGCCGTGTGTTATCCGTTAACTTAAGCTCGTTAACAAGAGGACTTTTTGGACACTGGGCATCCTACTATTAAGGTTAGGCTAATTATAAATTATAATAATGAGGAAGTGAATACGTATATGGCTGTTCGATAAGGTTTCCGCCATAATTTGAAAGTTTTAGTGTATAAAGTGGAAAAATTAAATTATACACTAAAAAGAGTATTACTTAATGTGCGCTACTTGCTGAATTAAGATGGGAATGAATAAATAGATTTGTGAATAGACAAGCAATGTTATCCTACTCATCACGAATAAAAAACCTGCCTGAAAATCGATTGAATAAAAAAATCTGGTAACTTAAAAATGTAACTTTAAACAGTAATGAATACGGAATTATATAGATATCGAATGTATTCTACAGTAAAGGAGTAGTTGCACAATAATATATATATATATATATATATAATTATTAGATGGTATGAGCAAATCAGTCTAATACGGATAATTCAGCATGTGCAATACTGGTGACGTTGACTGTCCTGTCGATATAAATCCGGGGTAAATATTGGTCTTCGAACAGGGCCAATACGGGGGCCAATACGGAAAAGGCCGTATTGGCCCCCGTATAAGCCCATGGGCTTCACTTCCTGTTTTAATTTACTTACGCCTAAGCTTACTTTACAGTTAACTTTGGACGTAACGTTATGCATAAAATACATTTGTATTCATATATTTGAACTTAATAGCATTAAAAGTTTAAATGATGTTCAGTGTTTTGTAACAGTCTTGAAACAGAAATATTTCTCAGCCTTTTCGAGTACCACTTCCGATTATTTTTACTGTTTCATTTCCGTTGATCAATCATCAGAACGCAGACGATTCTAGAGCAAGAAAAGTTAAACAGTCGGATTAATTCTTCCCAGCTGCTTAATATTTGCTAGATAAAATAATTTGTAATAGCATAAGATTAAGTACTCGGACGAGAAATCAGAAATGACATCTGACAATGTTGACAAAAAATCCATCGTGAATGCGAAAAGACAAGTTCAGATATGAATTTCTGTATCTTCTACTTTTAAGTAAGTTGCTTAGTTTAATTGAAGAATTAAAATCATTTAATAAAAGTGTTATGAACTGGCTGGTTCTGTATTGGCCCTGTTATAGATTCGAGGTTAGCTGTATTGGACCCGAGACTCGAAGATTTTTTATAAATGTCCATAAAAACGACCAACCAGAAAATTTAAAAGGTATGACACACGGTTGACAAAAAAACCCCGGGTTTTATGAGTATTGCCCAGCCCAGTGGGGAATACTGGGAAAACCCGGGTTTTACCGGGTAATACTGGGCAATACTGGGTAATACATAAAAGATATGTGTATATATATATATCTATATAATGTCTAAAAATAGCAACAATCAACATCTAATCTATTTAGGCGTAGACATTTATATATATATATCCGTTTATTTGGCAATCGCCAATGGCAGTCAGCAGGGTTTAAGAACATTTGTTGTTCGACCTGTTAGTCAAATGCGTTTTGTTAAAATATACTTTTTCACTTTTTTGGTCTTTTGGAAAATGTTGCTTGTGCTGTATTTAGACCCCTCTAACAAGAAATTTGTTTTGCATGCACACGTATAAAAATTGCTGTTTTTATCCAACGCAATCATAGGTTTGAACGTTGTTTTCAATTTAGACCTGTTTATATCTATATATATACATGACATAGTATTTTAATTTATAAGTTCACTTGTTTGAGACTCTTATTATAAAGGGAATTAATCTGAGAAAGTATTGGTCCAGCAACTCTAAGACATACATGTAAACACATAGACAAATATGAAAAGCTTTGTAAAAAATCCTCCTAAAAATCTATTAAATTGCCATTCTGTCAAAATCAGTCAAACTGTTAACACGAAGCCAAAGAATTCAATGTTTTGTTTGTTTAAATATATATAAACTAATATTAAGAATAAACGATTAATTATATGGAATGAAATGACTTTTAAGTAATTTTTGTTCATTGCGTGAACCCCTGGAATTTTTTTTACAAAATGTTAGTACACTTATATGTGCATCACTAATTAATAAGTAATTATTCAGATTATAACAAAGATTTGTTGATAACAATAATCAGCATTTTTCATTAATACAAGTGTTCATGACATGTCCCTTTAGGGTGTTTATTTAGCAATATGATTGTATAACAATTAAAATCTTCATTTCACTATAATACTGCACTAAAAAAATTTTTTTTCAAACTTCGGATTATTGAAACATTGCTTGGTTATAAACAAGGTGTATCAAAAAATGTGTAAAAATCTTACTTGTATTCTGCCTACATAGAATTATTGGAGAAAAGGAAGAAATTGAATATTCAATCCTGAATATGACCCTCAATGGTTATCTGTATAAAATGTATATAAGTTAGCGGCAATAAGTAAAATTATGAATTAGGCTTAAATCCTAGGCAATTAGCTAACGCCTAGGCATTAACTTATTGTCTGAAATTTTCAGGCATTAAGCTTATATCCTAAAATCTGTTGATGATTATTCAACCTATTGCCAAACATCATTTCAGGCAATAACTGAACTTTGGGATAATGTTCCATGTAAATGTACATTTGGTGAAAAATTCTTGATGTAAAGTATTGTTTATATCATATTCCAAATATTAATATACATTAATTTGATGTAGTCACGTTTCTCCAACATTTGATATTTTTGTATACAGGTAAATAATTTCTTGTTGGAGAAACGTGAAGTTTTTGCAATACGGATTAATGAAATTTACCTGTTAGTGGAGTTACAGTGAATCCAGCTCAAATTAACTTTTGAATAATCTGACGGATTGATTATTGAAAAAAAAAAACTGAGTCAAAATTGGAAAAATATTCCCCAAAGAGCACTAATATACAAAACAGTGATTAACATCGAGGATTTTTCTCAATGGAAAATGCTGTAAATTGCTGACACATTAAAAGTGTTATTCAACAATTTAAATTTAAACGGGGTAATGGTAAGATGATCCCTGCAGACAGACATTTACACTTTTCAATCATACCATACACCAAATATAGTTAGCCTATTGCTTAAATATAGTATCCGAAAAACATTTATTGACTGTAGTGCAAAAAGCAGCTTCTCTAAGTAATGCTGACGAATGCTCGTTAGGCGGAATAACGGGTATCTGCCAGTAAAGAATATATGTGGTGCTAGTTAGAGTTGATGCCTTCAACAAGTTGAATAAGCGGTCGTATATATGTCTGCTCACTTTTATTGGATAGAAGACTACAGATGAGTTGGTATATTGCGTGCACTGTAGAGTTGAGCAAACTGGGAATGGTACTTTTTAAAGGAGTTGCATTAGTCCAATTTATTTAATATTATGGGCAATGAGTTATTTTGTTAAATTTCACAATTTACAAATCACGGTGCTATATGGAAATCAGGTTCATGCATTAAGTTTTTACAGAAAAAATACAAGACTAGATAATATATGTAAATTGTGCTCTACATGGGGTTTTGAAATTTCTATAAGTAAAAATGTAGTTATGATACTTACTAGGAGGAAAACTGTAAATACAACTTAATAACTTGGCAGTCTCATATTGGAAATAGTTTTTAGCAGAGGCAGATTATATGTGCCCGGTCTCCCTTATGGACCTACATATATGGTTGATGCATAGACTTTTTATATGTCCCTCCAAACGTTGCTTACTTTGGGGGACCCGGACCCCTTTATCAAAATCCTGGATCCGCATCTGTTTAGGATTAATTTATTACGAGAACATAAATTTGCATTATAATCATATTCAAAATTTACGAACTGAGTGCGTGAATATTATTTTGAAGTGTAGGGCTGGTTGCGCCCAATCTAGTTCTTGTACGTAATTTCATACAATTTAGTATGAAATTTCTTACAAGAATCAGATGGGGCGCAACCATCCATACATTTAGAAAAAAAAATATTTATCTTTGATTGGATGAAAAATTTATCATCTTTGTGAAATATGTAATTCCTTGAAATCTTTACCGGACCAAGCTGCAATGGGTGGGGTGATCCATCTCATAATATAAAAAGACAGAGTCCAACTAAAGATGCGGAACGATACTGTTATCTTTTATTGTAACTCTAAAATTGTCAAACCTTTTTTCAAGCTGTCATAAATATTTTTATTTAATACTATAATCGGAAATTATTAGAAGAATTTTTATAAAAAGTACCCCATTTATTTTTGAATTTTCTGAATTTATTTTTTATTTTACATTTATTTTTAAAAAGTATAATATGAAAATTGTATTATACATTGTATACAGGTCTCACTATAACTTTCTAAAACAACAATTTTAATTGCTGTATAAACACCAAGCCCATCTATTGTTTAATACTTGTTGGATAAACGTTAGTTGGATTTTTAGAATGTTGGAGAAACGTGAATAAACCATTAATTCAACAGATCTTCAAATTTTAGTATTTTTTTTATATTAATAACAGAATTAACTTATATTTCTTTGTGGTATTACAAATATTCATATGTTTCAAACAATGATTGTATCTAATGAAAGGAGAGGGATTGATGATTCTTTTTGAAAATTGTAATTGAAGAAAATTCGCACTTCACTTGTCGAATTGATTTTGGTCTGGTCAAAAGTAGACAAATGCATAGTTATGAGTTTTTACTGACATCTTCTTTCCATTGATTTTATTGGATATATAAAACATTACTGTTAAACATTTTGTTAAATGTCCCCAAGCAATCTTGTCTTTTTCACTTCATAATTTGTATTATTTGCATTTATGTGACATGTCTATTGAGGACAGATTTCTTAGAGTCTTTGCGGTCTAAATTTTAATCAGTGAAAACAAGGAGTATAATGATCTTTTGGCAAAGATTGAACTTTCACCTTTTAGAATCCCCAGAAAAGACGGCTACTATAGACTACTACAATTAAAAACGGTATTGCATTGTTAGCATTGGAGACTTTGAAATGTAAAAAGTAAAGTAAAGGAGGATAATGAGGAAAATAAAAAAAAAAATGTTTTTCTACATGAACTGTATGGCACTTTGGAAAAGGCACATGGACTGGTCATGGCGACAGAGATCGTATGATTTAACCAACTGATAATGGATATGCAAATATTTCTCGTGATTCCATGGCTATGCAAATATTTCTCTTCATTCCATGGCTATGCAAATATTTCTCGTGATTCCATGGCTTTGCAAATATTTCTCGTGATTCCATCGAACTATTTCTTTCACTTTGTGAAAATTGTAACATGAAGAAAAAGTATTTAGGGAAGGGAGTAGTAGTGAACACACATTTTATCCAAATAGTTCAACAGAAGAGAACAGAATGATTTAATGGATTTCAAATCGAACCCAGATGGAAACTATAAATTTCTATAAAATCCCCTTACAAAAGTTTGTAACATTAGAGCTCTCACGTCAAAATGTGTTTCAGATTTGACATTTGATTTAATTGCTGTTTTTACAACTTTTGGTGTGCCCCATAAACTGCAAAGTGACATGGTTGTGAGTTTACAGCTTTGGTCATATCGAGTTAAAACTAAAGTGGCCAGAAATAGTGACTTTATTTCAGGTAAATGACATTTTAAACTTCAATTCTTATCATGTTATTGTGTACCAACTGTATTTTAACTTTGAATAATTGTCTTTTTATTGACTCGCATTTACATTTTAGGCATTGAGATTAATACCTTGACACATTCTTTAGGATTTAAGAATAATGTCCAACATCATCTAGGCTATAGACTTACTGCCTAGGCGTTAGTTAATTGCCTAGGATGTAAGCTTAATGCCTAATGTCACTTATTGCCTCTAACATATATATTTAGCTATAATACTATGAAACTACACCATTTCTTTACTATTTTGTTTAAAAATAAGTTTAAAAATCATATTGCCTAGTATTAACTATTTCTGTGAGTATTGCCCAGACCGGGAAATCCCGGGTTTTATCACCCTGGTAATACTTGGTCAACCCTGGCATGATATCAGGTATCGGATCGTCTAGAATAAGCTTACGACTATTATACATATTTACATGGAAGTGTTATCATTTATCAGCAAAAAGTTCAGATTTTAGCAATCAAACCAGAAAAATACAAGATAGTAGACGATTCATATTGTCACACAAAAGTAGTGATAAGGTATCAATTTGATGACAGAAAGTGTTCCTGCATCTGGAAATTTGAGATAATGACACTTTTCCCGTTTGATCAAATCTATTTGCTCCTTTGAGAACAAGAGAAAAGATAAAATTTTTATGTATTACTAATATGTAAATCAGATGCATGTAATCGTCTCATATCTCATACATAATATATAATCATACGGACTAACGTTACATACTGCTATTATTTATATTATCAGGTATTACAGAATTCTACGTATCATCATCGTTGTCTTTTTAAGTGTCACTTTAAAAGAGTTCTGCAAGTCACGCCAGTAAACGCCACCAAAATCATTTGACTTTTCCTTTAAATACTTTCCATTAAGGTTTGCCCACGTACAATCTCTTTGTTCAAAAAACCACCACGGACCTTCTTCATATATTTCACATTCTTTGCTATCGAATTCTATATTGTGCTTATCCTTTGTTGTAAATGGTTTATTATTGTTTTTCCATAAACTATTCCCTGCATAAGAAATGTAAGAAGCTAAGAATAAGAAAACTAGATTTTAAATGAATGTTTTAAAACATGTGTATACACACATTTTAAATAAGAGAATTTTTTTTCCGTTCAGAGCTGACGCAATTTCAATATAAATTTGTCATCGATGTTTTAAGGACATTATACAAACCGTTACAAATTGTTCAATTCTTGTTAGTGATTACTAAATTATGGTAAATGCTCACTTTCTCATTAAACAATATTTTATAACGTTTTACCGTACATAAAATGTTTCAATATGCACAAGTTTCAGTGCCTATAAAAGAAATTTATTAAAATTGTTTTTAATATTTTCTCATATTTTTCTTTATTCTTTGGTTTGTCCATTCCAGTTTTTTTGCCTGTGAGTTTTATAAAAGTATCATTTTTGATTGCATTTTTGGTATCTTTCGCCTCTAAATTTTTGCTAAATCAAGCTTTAAGAAAGAAACAACGTCGCTTTCTCAACAACAAACAAAATATGTCAGACCTTTCTGTAAACGCTCGTCAGCTATACTTATAAACCGATTCAAATAATATTAGTTTCTTCGAAGAAAAAAAGACAATTTGCTACGTTCCGATACCCTGAGATCACTTCAGTACAAAGCAACTTAAAGTTATTTTCTTGAGAAAAACTGATATCAGGAATTTCTCATTATTAAAATTATCCAAATAAACAAAGAGTATACACAGCCTTATTTGATATTCAAGGCATGTGCAAATAGAACAAACAACGGGACATCTGACGGTCAAATTATCTTCAGATATTTGTGGTGACTATGTTCAGGGAATGCATCTTTTTTGTTGTCAAAGGACATTTATTAAGCTTTAATCAAAACTAACCAATTATATTATATTTTAGTGTGTTATTGAAATATAAAATAAGGAGATGTTGTATGATGAGACAATTATCCACAAGAGACAAAACGACGTCGATGGAAACAACTTTAGATCACCGTATGATCTTCAACGATGAGCCAAATCCACACCGCATAGCAAGATTTAAAAGACATCGACATGATAAAATGTAAAAAAAAATCATACAAGAAATCCAACGGTCTAATTAATTCTGACAGACACTCAGAAGTTCATAATCCATCAATGAATACAAATATCGATTATGCAAAAAGAAGAAATCGTACTTATCGCATGGGTTTCTCTCCATTAAAATTGACACTTTCAGAGTCGGCGTAACAAACATTTAATGATAAAGTTGAACGAAAAACGACGTTTGTGTAACGTTTTTCTCCTCTCGGAAACCGTAGAAAGTTTCGAAAGATTTCCTAAAAAAAGATTTGAAACAAGCATTTCTCAAATTTGATTTGATTTTACATGTACATGTTACTTCAAACGCTGATACATTATTGTTCATCCTTAATTTGTTTTGAACTTGTTGGAAAGATAATTTCATTTTTTGTTGTTTGGATCCAACCTAAACGGCTTTTGGCGAACTTTTCTCAAGAGTAATTTTTAAAACAAATAAAGGTCACATGTCAGACATTTACACTATCTCAAGATTCCCATTTAGTAGACAAACACTAAGAGTTCTTGTGAATATATTATCATTTTTAGACACGAAAAATTCAAACTTAATAAACAACGAAGAAACAGTTTTGACCAATTTTACTGTAGTCATGCTAAGGGGTTCTTACTTATACAGTTTTGAATATGCATGACATAATTGGAGTATGATATAAAGTGTTTTTGAAAATATTTAAAATAGCCAAAGTTCCATTTCTCCTATTAAATGGTGGATTCATAATGACGGTACAATATGGTAAATTTCATATGATTGCAAACAATTAATCCATGTATGAGAGCTTGCTGGCAAAGGATAAGTCCCAATGGTGTAAGATTGTCACATCAAAATTACGGTACAGTATGGACAAGATGATATGACGACAAATAATCCGACCAAGTATGAAATATAAATAAGAAGATGTGGTATGAGTGCCAATGAGACAACTATCCATCCAAGTCACAATGTGTTAAAAGTAAACAATTATAGGTCAAAGTACAGCCTTCAACATGGAGCCTTGGCTCACACCGAACAACAAGCTATAAAGGGCCCCAAAATGACTAGTGTAAAACAATTCAAACAGGAAAATCTATATAATAAACGAGAAACGAGAAACACTTATGAACAACACCAACAAACGACAACCACTGAACAACAGGCTCCTGACTAAGGACAGGTGCATAAAAATGAAAGCTTTCTTTCAAACGGTCTATAAGTATTGATGTGTCTCGGGCAGACGGACAGAATGAGACTATTTCAATATCCCCAGCGGAGCAAACGCAGGTGAGAATATAACGTTTTGTTATAATGTATTTATTCATATGCACAGACACGTAATTGTCATACATATTATGGACATTAAAACATATTTATTAAGACCCAATACAAATGTAAAGGAAAAACAACGATTAGATATAAAGTCACTACTCAATCAATTTTTGAACTTATGAAATACAAGTATGATGGGATTGTGGTTACTTCAATTTACAGCTGTACAACTGAGTTTAACACAACAGAGAAAGGCCAAATATTATGAATGCAGGTAGAAGGCTGCTATTTATAAAGTTAAAAAATATTTCATACAACTTATCATACCTGTTGTTGTTATAACAGTGACCGTCTAAATCATGTTTTTCTTCATATAGTTTTTCGTGGCTTTTATTTGTTCCCGTAATGATTTATTTCTATGTATATAGAATATGGATACAACAATTTTTAGGTTTCTCGAGAATACCAAATAAAGAAAATCTGTATTAAACATTAGGTCAGTATTTATTTTATTCTAAATCCAAGAGTGGACTTCCCGTTGTATGGCTATGCATTGACGAGAGATTTGTTTGGAAAAAGAATTCATTTTCCCCTGAAATTCAATGTATTTATATATTTTATTGGGACGCGGAAATTGTATTACAAACATATTTATGTTTGGCGGGACTTTATGAGTTCCCCATTCATTTGGCAGTTCAAGGAGACAATAAACGGACTTAGAACTGTCCCCCTCTGGAACATATCTCTACCCTACCTGTTCTATGTTGGAGGGTATAAAATTATTTCCTAGGGTTCACTCTTGCCATTGAGAGGAATCCTCTCCACTTCTGGTAACAGAATTGAGGTGTCACCTCCGCAGTACACGTAATTCAGGTTGTTTGCACATAAAACATCGGAGGGACTGTTGTTTTTGCAGAGGTTTGTGTAAACAGAGGGGGGTTCTTCGTGCAGTTCATTCTTGCACGTAGGAAGGCTATTTTGGACACTTATGTTATCATAGGGTCCCCGATATGCTCTTTTCAATTCAAAGGCTATCGGGTTGTTTGTCTCCCTGGAACTGGCAAAACATTTTTATCTGCAAACACACGATGTTGTATATATATATTATTTGCATTATTAGTAATAAATATTCTGTATTCATTTCTCTTTTCTAAAAAAACAAAGAGTTTTACTTGTTTTGAATTATTTCTGTTTATTCCTCTTTTCAATATTTATTTTAAACATTTTATGGTTTTTCAATGGTAACCATTTTCAGACTTCCTATTCAGTGTGGTTGTGATGAAATGTCTCTTCTAATTATATATAATTTGTTATTGCAAATAGTGGAGATCATTTTGTCGATAAAGTGTTTAGTATTGTCTTATTTGAAATACCAAGTATCTATAGGAACTAATATTTTAACATGTGTTTTTGCGCAAAAATGATAGTATTTGGGAAAAGTATTTATTTCATTTATAAATTAATCTAACCTTCACAAGACAATTATAAAGGATTTTGATCATTTAAAATATTCAGTCCTAGACCATATATCAAATTGTCATGACAAAACCTTCACAGTAAAACATATGTTTTGTCCCTGGGAGTGGTGGCCCAACTAATATTTCGCTGCCTTAAGGTGGCTGGGGCGTCTTAATCAAAATTGATAGAATTTTTTGATAATTTGTCAAAATGGAAGTTCTTATCATGCTTTATTCAAAAATATAATAAAAAGTATGGGTCACCGAATTTTTTTTCACGCTAGAGGTTGTGCAAAATTGTCAGATTTTGTATAGATTATGCATGAAATTTTGTGTGATAAATAGAAAACTATTTGATAGAACTTTAAGATAAAATGTGAGAAGATAGCTCTTATGAGACGCTTTCAGATAAGAAAAAGAAAATAGGGGGTCACCGAACTTGTTTTCTTGCTACATATCAAAATAGGTAAATTCACCACACTTTCTATTATAAAAATTACTTTATCTGAGTTATCTCCCCTTATTTAGCAAAGTTGAAAAAAATCTAATCAAACACAAATTAGGTGTTTTTGAGAAATTACAGCCGTACTTATGATAAAACACACAATTTTCTATATTTACATAAAAAGTCTTCTACATAAGTTACATACTACTCTCAAAATTTGCATATTTCATGAAATATCTAGACCAACGTTATCTGCTACTTCGAAATCCAAGATGGAGGAAGACACCCGAGCCACCTTAAACATGTGTATTCTGAATTTACCAGACCAGATGTCTACTGTGCACCTTAGGTTTTGATATTGAAATTAATGCAACACACCGTATGTCGTATATTGGTTAAATTATCAAAAACTGTTCGGATTCCCACACTACGCCATGATTTCTGAATTCTATTTTCTATAATTCACTTTCATTAACAGTGTATATATGCTTGTGTGATATGGCAATATATCTTTCCAGTACTACATTTTGTTTGTTGGGAATCTTTTTACTGGCTTGTCTAATGATGAAGGTGATAATTAGCTTTAGCCCACTTAAACAGTTCACCTAGTTTGTCGTATTGTTACATTTTAATGTTTGTTGTATTACTAGTATTCAATAAACCATTATTACATTTCTATAGACCCTTCCAAAAACTAAAAGATTTCAGGCAAACTTAAAGCAGCCCAGCTTATTTCATGGATTAATTTGAAAACCTTACACGTTGTTTATTCATATGGACTTAATGTTTTAAATCCGACATTTTACATATTATCTAAATGTCTGAAATTTTCCTTTATATCCTGTGAAGATTTTGGGGAAAAAAATTTTGCTAAATAAAAGAATATTTTACTTATTATATACTAGATATTAAATTTACCAGCCGTTCCGCTATATCCTCCAATAGACAGTTTGTAATTCGAAAATACACCGCCTATTTTGAAAGAGTTATATCTGGCAAATGCTTTGTTGTTTTTAAAGTCTTCTATCATTACCATCAATTCATATCTACCTTGGTCTGTAATTATATAAAGGTTACTGTTACCTGAAACAAATATTAACAATTAAAGCACAATATTTCAGATTATGGTGTATTCTGTTTCAAATCCGACATTTTACAAGTTGTCTAAATAAAAATTGTCTGACATTTTCCGTTTATATCAAGTTAAGAATGTGAAAAATAAAATAATACAAACCTAACCAGAATTCTTTACGTAAATTTCCAAAGCCATTCTCATAATCAATCCATTCCCGATTGAAGTCCTCTTCGCCAGTTGCTCTGTGTTGAAAAACCTTAAATCAATCGAAATGGTATTATAAATAACCCGCTAAAATACTATCACTCACCTAGGACCAAATGAAGCGTGAGACTTCACAGAGATATGATAGTGGCATAGCATTTTATATTTATTATAGCGATTTCTCATAAAGAAACCACAAGAAAAGGCAGACACAATTGAGAAAAAAGTTTATAAATTAAATTTTAAACTGCTTAGTTTGCATGTTTAAAAACAATTTTATGCAAAAAAGGGCCGATAACAGATGAGACCGTCTCACCTTTTAGTAAATTTTTAAGGTCAAAGTTCCTTTATTAAATTAAAGTAGCTCATCTACTCTAAAAGCTTAGCTCACATTTTTTTGTTATGTAAAGATCCGAAAAATATATAAAAGATCTTAACAAAATAAAACTTATATTCATTCATTTTATCATTAAAATGTGAAACCAACCAAATGATATATACAATGCAAAAAAAGTCAAATAATCCGGCGTTGTCCGAAGTGCACAGACCCCAATGGTAAAACATCTCTTAGGACAAAAGTTTGTACATGTATAATACACCGTTAATTATCATTGTCATGTCAGTATCCCATGACCTTGTAAGCTATGTAACAATGTCATTGTTGAAGAAGACATTTATATTCCACTTCAATGTCCATCACTTTGGACTGAAAGGTCGATTTTTGTTTCTGATATATTAAAATAAAAATTTACTTATTTTAATGCTTTAGATGACCATACAAAATTCATATGGTAGATGTCAAATGAAGATCCCATAGTTGTTTATTTGAAAATACATTTATTGATTACTTTGATTAAGACTTTAAGAGCAAAATTAAATAGTACGATATGAGTGACCCTCCAGCTCTTTAGACACTTTACAGGAAAATCTATCTACAAAGTTCACACTTTGTCTGTTGTCCCCCCTTTCATATATTCTTACTAATTAAGTTTTTTGATATTCTCCAATTAAAAACAAATATTATAACTATTTGTACACTGTAAAAATAATTGTAATGTATATTTACGTAAATCAGTATAAAGCATTTTTTTGTTCTTTTTATGTGTTTCGGTACTTGTTCAGCGTTGGTTATGGGCGTTACTGATGAATGTAAATCTTGGAAATACATTTTATAAAGTGTTATTTTTGTTTTTCATCTTTACAAGAAAAGTGTAAAATAGCAAAAATACCGAACTCCAAGGAAAATTCAAAACGGAAAGTCCTTTATCAAATGGCAAAAATCAAAACAAACATTTCGATACGTTATACTTTACTTACTGTCCAGCCTCCTTCAATATTGGATGTGTCAAGGTCACAGTAAACGTTAATGCGTCCAATGCCCTTTGATATATAGTATAGATACCACTTCCCTGGCTTACATGAATATCAGTACAGTCGATAGGTGTTTCTAAAGAAAACATGTGTTTTCTACATTGTTTTGTTAACGACAAAAAGGACAAAAAACTATAAAAAAAAGAGCAACGCAATAGTTTATTAAACATTGTATTTGTGTTTTTGAAAGCACTTCTTGTTGTATACTAGTTCTGCAACTGCGATCCTAATACATTGATACAACTTTCGGCTTCTTACTTTCTTCTGATGTTAAAAATTGCTAAATAGAAGAAATTGAAAAAAAACATCTAAGCTTCATGAATATCCGCGTGCTTTCAAACCCGTATTCAAAACACAAATTAAACTGTCGTAAATCTTAATTCATCTTCATCGTTGAGCAGATTCCGTGATTTTTATAAGGTAGACAATGCCTCTTTAGCCAGATTAATCAATAGAGATGCACGTGGACAAGTTTTCAGATGCAATGCTCCTGATGCTAGAAAATAACAAACCAGCTCCAGATCATCTTTACACAGAGACGTTCGGTCATTAGTAAAAGGAAGAAATGTTTGCTCACATTTTCCTATTACATTAAGTTATCTTGTTCAGGAACCTAACCATAATGTAGTCAATAAGTAGGGAAAAAAAAAAAAGAAGTGATTTGTGCTCGTATGAAACTCATGAGCATTTGAAAGAATAAGTGTATATGTCCACGTACATCTTTGTTGAATAGACGAATAAACAGCTACAGAAAATGATAGTTATATTTAAAATGTTTTTTTTTTTTTCTCTAAAATATTCAAATGTGTGAATTTAAGTACCCACCCATATGATAACTTCAAAGTACATTTTAAATCGGTTGATTCTATTTTGTTTTAAATATATAATAGTGCATGTCAAAATAAGTCTCTTTTTTTCAATGTCAAGAAGATAAAAAAAAAAAACAGTTTATTTTTAAACGATTGATAAATAAAACGAGAAATTATCTAAATTGAAATTGTATTTCATGACTGTGCAACCTGAACTTTCAGTTCTAAAAAATACCAATACCTTCAGACACTCGTTCCAATTGCAATGATTTTCTAACATCCTCTTTTAACTGCAATACCAATCGTTCCGTATGATTTACATATATAGCCATCACAAGAATAATCAATGCATTGAGAAATAAAAAAATTGTATCGATCAATTTACTTCCTTTAGTTACGTGTCATACGCAAGTTCTTAACAGTTATCTCCCTTCCATGTAGTTGTATTTTTCCATTAAAATACCTAATTTGTGTTTTTGTAACTGTTAACAATTTTCCTCAAAGTTATTCATACTTTTTACAGTTATTGTAATAAAAAGCAAGATAAACGATCGTCTTATATGGTCCTCTTTATTATTTTCAGGTATAAACGAACATACTTTTATGCTCAAGGAACGTAATAAATGATCAATGTATATTAATATGTTATTAAAGGGTTGATTCTACAAGGTCAAGCTTAGAAACTTCTTCTGTAATAAGCATATTCAAGAACTGTTATAATCACGCTACTCGACATTCTTTCAGTAATTGCAAGCGTGTTTTATTCGTTTGATACTATTGTTTTGCATGTACTTGTGATTTTGCTATCTTTCATGGCATTATTATTGAATAAGAGTGAAGTCCTTTTCCAGTTTTTAGTTTAATTTTAAGTTGTTTTTTTCGGTCCACTTTTGTTTATATGTCCAATTTTGATTATAGGTCCAATTTTGTTTTATCTGCTCTTCAAAGTTGGTAGTAGATTTTGAACTTGAGCATCACTGAAGAGACATTAGTTGTCGAAATACGGATCTCATAACGTAAAATCGGTACCTTCAAAGCTATAGTTATTCCACTGGTTGAAAAAGGAGGGTGTTCCAAAACAAAATACAAAAAAATTTGCTACATGTTCATTTATACTACTTAAAAAAGTTTAGCAACACAACCTCTGACTGAAAATAAAGTAAAACAAACCCTCTATTTATCTTTTAAGTGTTTGTTTTCTTAATCTTCAATCATTTGTGTATTTAAAAGTACTACTGTTATGTTGGTCAAATTTCAGACAGATACACTGTTTGCAGACTTTGAGGAAGGAGTCAACATTGAAAGTCACAATTTAAACAATTTTTTGCTCATGATGTAGTAAAAAATGCATAAAATGAACAAAATGGACGAAGTGGCGAATCTGATGCCATAATTTATTAAATATGAACAGAAACTGACATTTCCCTTGTAAAAGAGATGAAAAAACAGGAATGCTGTTAATTTCAGATGATTTTGAGTATTTTTTGCAAAGATATGAACCCTCGGATACCATTGATGGTGTCTTTGTTTACATGCAATTTGAAATAGTAGTAATCTGCGCTCTTATGCTTTTTTAATTGTGTGTTGTGAGAAGGGGATTGCTTATTCGAAATATCACGGCCTTAATCCTATCTTTTTAACAAAAGTCTAACAAAATAACGAAGGAAATCAATTATGATATACAGCAACAAACTAAGCATATACACTCAGAGCGTTCAACTTTATCAAATGATGGAAACGCAACCTAAAACATTCCGAACAATTGTTTATGCATTATTGTTTATTGTTGTTTTACTTGTACTTGTATTTTACTTTCCATGTAACATTTTTATAGAGTGTTGTCGTTTTCAAGCAATGATATTATTTCTACACTGTATTTTCGAACAATTTGGTTTTATCTGCTGTTTTTAGTTTGTCAGTGCAGTAAACTTGGTACCGTGAAGTTAATGTTATTCAACTGAACAAAGGATCGTGTTGGGTTGAGATGGTAAAAAGAAAGCACCGCCACATGTTCCTTGTCTTTTCCAAGTATTTTTTTGTTTTATCAGAATATGTTTTCATCATTTAGAGAATTCGAAATTGATTGCACGTTTTTTATAGACTCTGTTACATAGTTTTGAAACTTTTTTAGACCATGGGTGATTAAATGTTTGTTGTATTTTAAAGACAACTGTGTTATCCCGAAGAACATAACGTTTTTATTATGACCTCAATAGGTCATTGGATTGTTGTGTCGTTGTGTTGCTGTCTCATTAACATATAATCAAACTCTGCATTCACGATCGAGTTTCACTCATTTTATCAAAATGAAAATACCTGTTTTGTTAATGGGTGTTTGTTTATAAGTTTTTTTTTTGCTCTTTAAACATGTTAAATAAAGGTTTAATGATCCAATCCATAAGAGTAAAATAAATCTGTATTAAACTATTTTTTTTAGAAAATTGAAGTGTAGTGTACTACTATTGGGACAAATAATATCAAAAATATAGAAAAGTCTACCAGCTCTAACTCAAAATATTGACAATTCTATGTTCAGGAGGTCTTAACTTCAGTTTGACAGCTTCAGACATACTAGTTTTTGACCTTTTTTAACTGGACCAAATCACTACTTAACATAAAGATTC